GGATCGTTTTGATAACCATTCAGTTTTTATTTTGATTTTTTTGTTTTTAAAAAATAAAAATCATATATGTTTTATAATTTAAAAAAAAACATAAACCAAACAGATTTGATAACCATTTTTTGTTTTTTATTGTAAAAAAGTTAGAAAGTTGAAGAGCTATATGAAAGATAGAAAAATATATGTAAAGTAAATATGACAACATGTGATTTTGAGAATCAAGGTCCAGATCGAGGAATCCTCGCAAAGAACAGTGATCTTCATAGGAAATAATTACCGATTTAGTTATTAATTTTAATTATTTTTAGAATTAAAAAAAATAAAAAAGTAATAAATATATATTTTTCAAAAAATAAAATATTATTATACTAACATTTTATAGTTTGATAATCTCTCATAGATTTGAAAGGTTAATCTCTCATTTRCGTTATATTCTAAAAAACAGTTGATGTAACTTTTAGAAAAAAATTCCTTTTTAAACTGACAAACTATATATTTTTTTCTTTACACTYAGCAGTATTTTCAAATATAAAAAAAAGTTTTAAATTTAAAAAAAAATAGAATGAGTTCAAATCAAAATAAAACTGTAAAATATCCTCAGAACTATCATATTTACGTTATATTGAAAAAAAAGTTATAACATGTTGAAAAATACATATTAGTTTTGTGCTATGAAGTGAAATTTTTCTAAAACAAAATATATATCTATCTTTATATCTATAATATATTAAAAAGTACGGATGTGGAAGAAATATTTTTTGGACAATATTAATCCTTACTTTTTTTGTAATACYAAAATTATCATTCTCTTAAATTTATGTTTCTCTCTCATCCATCACTCCYTATGTGAGACTCTCCCATCTTTTCAGATTTATCTCTCACTTATTTAATTATAATTAAWTTTTTAGGGAACAAAATTGGATTAAATAAATGAAACATAAAAGATTAAGAATATCAAAAATTTTGCTTTTATTTATATAAATTAAATTTTTTACATTTAATTAGGTTGAATGGTAGAATATGAAAAGTGTTAGAATTTTAAAGGTTTTTGTAACTTTTCTACTTTCTACGACTATAAAAGTGGTTCTCTTCATCCTCATTTTCACACTCTAATTTGTTCTTTTCTTTTATACATATTTTTTTTCTCTTTAGTTCATCGTGGTTTCTAGATTTAGTGATAGAATACTAACATTTTCAATATTCTTTTTTATGTTGTGTTTAGCAATTGTTGATCATTGTATGTATCTTGTCGCAACGTCATCGCGACGCGGAGTGGCCGACGTCATCTCCTGAAAGGTCTCTTTCGAGATAAGGGTTTGGAGTCGCCACCAATCATCAGGTCTGATGGTGTTAGCACCCTACGACACCCGTTCGAAAACGATACCACATTTTGTCAAAAATTATCCTATTATTTTATTTGGTCCAAAAAAATTGTTTTTATTTTATTTTAAATGTCTCATATTATATTAATTCACATTTTGTAATAAAATATGAATGTATAGGTATGAGTGCACAGAGGCCATTAGAAAAATTTTGACGGAAGGTTCCAATTCCTAGAGTTTTTGAAATAATTATTTAGAGAAAGAAAAATAATCAATAAAAAATCATTTTAATTTTAGGGAACATCAAGACTTGAACTTGCAACATGAGCGTTGACACTAAAACATTGATGTGCCACCACCACTTTGAGATAAGCTATGCTCCTTTTTAAAATACATATTTTGTATTTTTGAATTTTGTTTAAAAAAAACTCTAAATGAAATCTTTTATTTAAAATAATTATTTAGTAAAAAGAATGATAAAATGAGACATTCAAAGACTCGAACTTGGATCATTTACATTAAAAATCAAAACATCTTACCACAATGCYAATATAAACATTATATTCTTTTGCACAAACAAAAGTTTTAATTTATTTTTTTAAACTAAAAAAACCTACGAATTTTGTTAAATTAAAACAAAAAATAAATATTTTTTTTATTTATTTCGAAATTAACAAGATTATTTAAAATAAAAAAATTATTTAAAAATAAAGTCAAGTTTACTTTAACAAAACTTATTTGCTAAAAAACTGATTTTTTTGTTAAGATTGTTTTGAAAACCATAACTACCAAACCATTAAAAGAAATTTTTTAAAAAATGAGATTTTATTTTAAAATACTCTGTTTTTATCTCCTCATTTTTTTAAAATCCTGCAGCAGAATATTCTTTTTTAATTTAAAAAATAAAACAAATTTGACATAAAAAGTAAACCTTGTAAAAAAATTCTTTTAAATAAAAACTATCTCTTAAACTTTGAATCCAAATTTAAAAGAATCCAAATTTTTTAAAGAGGATTTATTTTATAAAACTCCTATTTTCAATGTATTTTAAYCAAAATTTTAAAGTAAAATCTTTTATAAAAATAAAATTAAGTTTATATTTATTTCATTTAAAAAAAACTCTTCTTTATTAGAAAAAGAAAAACCTTTTTATTTTAAAGCAAATTTTAAAATATCAAAATCCTTATTTTATTTTCAAAAACTTATTTAAAATTAATTTAGAAGATTTTTTTTATTAAAAACATTTTTTTTCCAAAAAAGTAAAAAAAAAAAACTTGTTTCTTAAAAAAATCTTTTTATAGAAGCAAAATAATATGTTTCAAATTAAAAACAGCCAATTTTCCCTTATTTAAAAAAAAAGGTTCTTTACAACGTATTTTATACTTACGCACTACGGGAGGGAGATCGTCGGAGTGCCTGCGGGCTTGGAAGAAGCTGTGAAGAAAGTTGTTGCTACTGTGTCGTTCGYGCCGTTCCCTTGCGTCGTCGGAGGTCGTAGGTATGAAGGARAAAAAGTGGTGATGGTGGGATAAGAAAGGAGAAGAGATGAATGTGTGGTTATTGAGGAAAAATATGAGTTTTAGAGATAGAGAGAAGAARATACAGTGATGAGTTTCTAACTCTGCCTCATTATCTGTGTTGTGTGTCCTTTAAATACACAAAAAATAGGAAGGAAATGGAGGAGAAGATGCCAGGTTACGTGCCTGGAAAAAATAAAAGAGGAAAAAACCGTTAAAAATCAATGGTTTTGTTATTCTTTAATTAAAATATAACTCAATAAAGTAAAATACAATAATATAAATTAAAATTAAAACTAAAATTAAGCCGGACCAGGTGTCTACCTATCTTGGAAGCATTTGTTAGTTTGATCTCAAACATTGGTAAAAAGTAAATATATTTTATGAAAATATAGGATAATCGTCTTATTTTGTTCTTAAATATTGTTATTTTTAAGTTCGGACTATTTTATAGTTAATTTTAATATCATTATTTTTTATTTTAAATATTGAAAATTTTTAAACATTATATGTGTAGGATAATCGACTTGATTTTGTTCTTAAATATTGCTATTTTTTAAGTTCGGACTATTTTGTAGTTAATTTTAATATCATTATTTTTTATTTTAAATATCGAATTTTTTTTAGGGAACAAAATTTAAATGCACCCCAAAGTGGATGAAATGAACGAAAGATGAAAGGTTAAGAAAATGAAAAATTTTACCTTTATTTGTATAAATTAATTTTGAAATTAAATATTTTAAAAAAAATTAAAATTAAATTTTTTACATTTACCCCTGTTTGAATCATATTGATTTTTAAATCATTTTCGTTGTTCGGTGCGACAAGAAAGGGAAGAAATTTAAAATCACAACTAATTTAAGAAAGTTGTGTGCGCGCGCGACAAGAAAGGGAAGAAATTTGAAATCACAACGAATTTAGTTGTGTGTCTTTCTTTTAGTTATAAAGGTATTGATTATTTTCTCGTTTAGATTTTAATTTTTTTTGTTTGCTTTTTTTAGAAAATGTAATTGAAAGTTTTAATTTATTAAATTTATTTGATTAAATGATTATATTTCATATGAAAATATTATTATAATATACAAAATTATAATGGCATAATAGTCAAATGATATACTTTCTTTTCAATTCTCGTGAACATCCTCTTCATTAACACACTAATTTATTCTATTATTTTATACATATGTTTTTCTCTTTAGTTCATCGTTATACAGCGGCATTGTTTAGCAATTGTTGATCATTGTGTGTATCTTACAAGCATTTGTTAGTTTAATCTCAAGCATCGGTAAGAAGTAAATATATTTTATGGAAATATAGGATAATCGTATTTTGTTCTTCAATATTGCTATTTTAAGTTCGGACTATTTTGTAGTTAATTTTGATATCATTATTTTTTATTTTAAATATTTTTACATATTTAAAAATGGTTAGGTTGTCTGTTTTATTTAAATACGACAGGATTAATTTTTGATTTTCTCATATACATGAAGAAAAAATAATCATCCTATCATTTTATTTTATGATATACTTTTAACAAATATTAAATAATATTTTTTACGAATACAATGTAAAAAAATAATTTTACTAAAACAAAATATACCATTATCTAAAGTTATTTTATTTAAAATAAAAAGTTAAAAGTAACATGTATCTTCGTAATTAAAACTTTGTTGGAAAGTAAATTTTATTGTTAAACACACAATAACAACATTTTTAAGGCTAACCAAAACATATTACAATTAATGATTYATCCAACCATGAGGATGTTGTAAATATATATAAATTAATTTATTCAATCAAAATAGTGAATTATATATTTTAATAAGTGTTACCAAAGTTTAAAAATAATAAATAATTATCAAAATACATAGAAAAATCACTTACTATTGATATATAATTTATTTTGTTATAAATAAGAATGATTGTAGTATTTGATAAATTCAAAACTAAAATTAACCTTAATATACTATGCTATAAATTTAAGATAGAATGCACATGTTAAATTACTCGGGTTTTTTTTTTCAAAGAATAGAGACGAAACTAAAAAAATAGCGGGAACGAAAATGATAATAAGTATCTAGTATGGGCAAAAAACATTTTTTTTTAATTATATATTTAGCATTGTTTTAGTAAAAAAAGTTCAAATTGTCTTCAAAACCAAAAGAGTGGTAGACTGTAGTGGGTCAATTTTTCCTCTCGGCTCAGCCTGAAGAACCATTCGATCTTCACAAATCACAAATAAGAATTAAGATCATTCCTCTCAATTTTCCGTTCCTTCTTTGAAGAAATTTCACGATTAATGATCGTTAGACTTCAGAGTTCAGAGGCAGAACAGTGATGAATGAATGTTTCTCATTTTCTCCACGAACTCCAACTCTGCGCTAGACGCCAGTCGGCATCAGCCGCTGGAAAGCTCCATTCTCAGATCATCAAAACCGGATTGGTCCAATATGGCCCCCTCCCCAACACCCTTTTGGATGTCTACGGCAAATGCGGTCTCATTCCCCAAGCCCTCCAACTGTTCGACGAAATGCCCCACAGGGATCACGTCTCCTGGGCCTCGATTCTCACCGCCCATAACCAAGCCATTCTTCCCCGACGGACCCTTTCGATGCTCAACACCATGTTGGCGCTTGATGGGTTGCAGCCCGACCATTTTATCTTCGCCTCCATAGTCAGGGCCTGTGCGAGCTTGGGAATTTTGCGGCTAGGTAAGCAAGTCCATGCTCGGTTTATGTTGTCTTCGTTTTATGATGATGAGGTTGTCAAGTCTTCTTTGATTGATATGTATGCCAAATGTAGGCAACCCGATGATGCTCGGGCTGTTTTTGATTCCATTTTGTTCAAGAATTCTGTTTCTTGGACTGCTATGATTTCTGGGTATGCTAGAAGTGGGAGGAAATCCGATGCTATTGAGCTTTTTCATCGAGTTCCGGTGAGAAACTTGTTCTCGTGGACTGCTTTGATTTCGGGGTTGATTCAAAGTGGCAATGGAATGTACTCGTTTTCTTTGTTTAGTGAAATGAGGAGAGAAGGAATTGATATTGTTGACCCTTTAGTTCTTTCAAGTGTTGTTGGAGCTTGTGCAAATTTGGCTCTTCTGGAGCTAGGAAAGCAAATTCATTGCTTGGTTATAGCTCTTGGCTTTGAGTCTTGTTTATTTATAAGCAATGCACTTGTAGATATGTATGCTAAATGTAGTGACATTTTAGCAGCCAAGGATATCTTTCTTGGAATGCCCCGAAAAGATGTGATTTCTTGGACTTCAATCATAGTTGGTACTGCTCAACATGGGCAAGCAGAGGAGGCATTAGCTTTATATGATGAGATGGTTTTGGCTGGAGTAAAACCGAAYGAAGTGACTTTCGTTGGGTTACTTTATGCTTGCAGTCATGCCGGGCTAGTTAACAGAGGTCGCGAATTATTTAGGTCTATGGTAGCTGATTATAGGATTAATCCTTCTCTCCAGCACTACACATGTTTATTAGATCTTCTGAGTCGCTCTGGACACCTTGATGAGGCAGAGAGTATAATTAATGAAATGCCATTTAAACCCGATGAGCCTACTTGGGCATCTCTATTGAGCGCGTGCAAGCGACATAATAKTATGAAAATGGGAGTTCGAATTGCTGATCATGTCTTGGATTTAAAACCTGAAGATCCTTCGACATACATACTCTTGTCGAATGTTTATGCCAGTGCTGAAATGTGGGAAAGTGTTTCAAAGGTGAGAAAGTTGATGAGTTCTATGGAAGTAAGAAAGGAACCGGGTTATAGTAGCATTGACTTTGGGAAGGAGAGTCAAGTATTTCATGCTGGGGAGACTTGTCATCCTATGAGAGATGAGATTTTCCATCTACTGAAGGATTTAGATGCAGAAATGAGAAGGAGAGGCTATGTTCCTAACACCAGCTTTGTTTTGCATGACATGGAGCAGCAAGAAAAGGAAAAACAGCTCTTTTGGCACAGTGAGAGGTTGGCCATGGCATATGGACTTCTCAAGGCTGTTCCAGGGACGATTATTCGGATCGTGAAAAATCTTCGCATTTGTGGAGATTGTCATAATGTCTTGAAATTTGCTAGTGATATAGTGAAAAGAGAAATTGTCGTCCGCGATGCCACGAGATATCATCATTTCAAGGAAGGGAAATGTTCGTGCAATGATTTCTGGTGACTACTCTGTGGGTAATTTTGTGGGATCCTCTTCTACTTATCTCCAAAATTCTTTGACCAAAAGGTATSAAGTAGTGAAGCTTTTTATTTTTATTTATTTATTTTTAATACAACAACATGACAGGATAAGGATTCAAGCTCATGACCTTTTGGTTAGAGATAGATGCCTTAACCAATTGAGCTAAGCTCAGGTTGGGGACGTAGTGAAGTTTTKAAAAATACCTATCTAATTTATGTGTGTTTTTTAAAAAAAGAAGACAAGGCATCTCCTTTCAAATTTTTTTTAAAAAAGTATAGAAATTATCAAAGCATTTGTGTAACTTAGACCAAAGAGAAGCTACATTCTCTCATATTTTTCTCTAGAATTTCTATGCTTATTCTCGAATATTTTGTCGTTCCTTTCTAGCCAAACCATCCATAAAACGACTCTTGAGACATTCTTCTTATGGACTTTTGCCTTTCCTTTCAGCCAACAACCCTAAATAACTTTCGGAAGAAAGATTTGAGCATCCCTATGGAGACACCAGCTAATATTAAWCATTCTGCATAAATGAAGCCACCTATCTACCACAATCATATTATGGAAAGCAGAGGATGATATTTTTCCATCTGATGGCTATGATCCTAATACTGCCTTCTTTTTCATGACATGAAGCATCAAGAAGCAGCTCTTTGGGGACGGTCAGAAGCTGGCTATATGGCCGTATGGAGCATTCACTAAAATGGAGACAGGAGGATACTTGTTTGAGGTATAAAAATTATTGAGAAGCCTCAATTAGAAGATAAATATACTTTCAAGGCAAACGCCTATATAGCCTTCATAAGTTTTGACCATTGTGGAAACTTTTTATCACCAACTTTGTTGTGTCATACATTTATTAACTTTATGTGGGGGATAGTGGAAAGAATGATGAAATTTAGTATGGTTAGTGCCAGTTTGAGGGTAACACACATGAGAATGGATGATCTTGATAGAATTGGAGCTAGGAGGTTGCATAATTTTCTAAAATATTTATAGATATGAATCTTTATAAAAGTGATTGCATATATGGCATATTTTTAACTCAAGGTATGTCAATAGGCGGTAGTTAGAGTTAATCAATGTGCAAATATACCAGTGATGAGTACGTTTAAACAGAATACTATATTTGTAGTTAATGTAATAGCTGACAACATGTGTTCTAATTTTTGTATATTTATAAATATTATTTTAAAGTTCTATTTTATAATATTTTATGTAAATTAGAAATTAGGCTAAAGATCATACAAGTTCTCTCTAACTTTCTCGTTCGCTGTCGTATAGTCCTTACTTAAAAGTTGAAGATTCAAATTCCTTATTTTGAGCTACCACTTTGCCTCCTTGGTTGAAATTTTTTTATTTTTATTTTTCTCCCATACTTTTGGAGTTTGTTTGGCTCGCCCGGAGTTCAAATATGGAGAAGGCTTCTTCATCCCTGTTTTGGGATAAGGGTCGTTTTTTGTAGTGTGCGAGATTTTAGCTATCTTGTGGGGGATGTGGATTGAGAGGTACGAAAGGATTTTTAGAGAGTTTGAGAGTTCCTAGGAGGAGGTTTTAGATATTGTTAGATATTACGTCTCTTTTTGGGCTTCCATGTCCAAAACTTTTTGCAATTACTTCTTACGTCAAATTTTGCTTGATTGGAGTCGTGGTC